GACCACATTGGGCGACACTGGGGTGGCAACAAGCCCAGAGAATTCTGCTGGTTGAGAGCTACCTATCTGAGACGAGGACTTGACAGCGCCGTGTGTCTTTTCTGCGTATTGCATGTTGAAACCTAGCAAAATGCAGACTGAAAGGATATAGTCTTTGCTAGGCGTTTGGCAGCGTGTGGAAGTTCTTGAGGACATGCTTATCCAGATATTGCTTGAATGACCATCAGGAAGTCTGCAATGACCCCATCAGAAGAGCTTGTATTTTCATATTTTAGAATCAATCACATACAGTACTACTGTATATGTTTCACGATGAGAAGGCACGCCAAGATGAAAAAGCTCAGTTCAGCGACCCTAGCGATTCCGGTTGGAGGGGATCCAAGTTCCTTTTTTTGGAGAGAGGGGTTGCTATGAGAAGGTCCTCTTCGTTGGGCTGGTGGATCACCGGTGAGAGGGACTGGCAAAGATCTACTTGATGCTGTTGGGAAAGAGGTTGACCGGAGGAAAAAGCAATCTTGTCCTAAAAGTGTCGCCCAGGGCACGGATTTGTCGTCTTCTTCAGCAAGGCCAGGGTGTGTAGGGTGGTAGGTCAAACCCCTTGTGTCTCCAAATTGTGAAAGATGAGACCGAAGACACTGTAGTCTAATTTCATCCACTTGGGCACCTTTTTCCTTTGATCAAAAATGACCAGATCCTAGGAACCTTTTTCTTTTTGGAATAGCAAGAAGCTAGTAGTAACAAGTGCATCGCTACTCGTAGCTTCTGGTTACAATATAGTAGTAATGCCCTTGTTACTAGTAGCGATGCACTTGTTACTAGTAGCAAGAAGCTAGTAGTAACAAGGGAAACCATAGCCTCTCTAATCTACATAGTCGGACCTACAGGATTCTCTCAAGGGACTTCATCCACAGCGAGCCCTTCAGTTTCACACTTTTGGGTGTTGGCTTCTGTTGCCTCATCAGACTTCATTGTCATTTTGTTGGGAATTTTCAGAACAGATCACACTGAGAGCACGGGACAATCCAAAGTATGAATCTTTACTGTATATAAATCATCTGGCACTTCACAGACTGCAGGTTTCATCTACCGATGATGGACCATGTTATATTCCTCTACAAACCAATGACTTCGGGGTCCATGTCGGGATCGCCACAAAAAGGTCGACCCTCAGAACGAGCCAGAATAGTCCGTAAATGGAACGAACCCACCAGGTTCGGGTATTTTCTCACCAAACGGTCCTTGTTTTTGGTTCTCTAGCTACGTATGTGTTGGAGGAACTCCAGGTCCTTTGGTGCACGGTGTCGGCCTTGAAAAAGGCACTTGGCTGCCGCCCGAGCCAGCGGCCTGTGGCGCTTGCCAGAGCGCTTGCATGTGAGGGCTCTGAGCACCGCGAGTGCGTTGGGAGAGAGGAAGAATGAATAAGGGAACAACTTGGCCTCTTGGAGCCCTTGGAATTGGCCATATGGGCTGTTAGTTCCTCTCTTTCTGTGTAGATTTTGCCCGAGAATGGCAAGCTGATCGATGTTTTCCTCAGAAGCAGATGCATCAAGAGGTCAAGCAGCGGTTATCACGGGCAGCCCAGAACCCCTCAAAGATCCAGCCGAACTCAGGCCCAACCTCGGATTGTGGCCCATTTCTGGTTTGCCTTTCTGGTCCACAACACCACGAAATCGTGGAACAAATTTTGCTTCCACCTTTGCCTCACGCAGTACATGTTTCTGTGCCGTCTTCTGTGGGTGAGTGAGAGAGTCGGTGTCATTGCATTTTTGTGTGCGGTTTCATCTCAACTCAACCTGCGTTCTTCACGTATTATATACTCAGTCGTGTACTGTTAGCTTGTTATTTCCACAAGGGTATATGGTATATTAGTATATTCCTTACTACACAAAGTTTTGGTAGTTTGTCAGGTTCATTTGTTTTCCTGTAGAATGCATCCGACTGTATTCAGATTGACAGGTGACTGTGCTGTACTTTGGAAAGGAATCTAAGAGGCCAGAGGCGGCTTCGCCAAGTGCGATTGCGCGAGCCTGCGAGTCTGCAAGTAGTATTGTTCCAACAGGCTCACTTTCTGGAGCGACCAAGCCGGGAGCTCCCAATTAATTTGGTTCAGAGGAGCTTTTTTGCCGGAACCAATCGAATTACTTCATTTCAGTCACCTGCGAAGACAGACGGAAGTTCTGACCCTGACCTGGCCTTCCCTCCAAACCGCAGGGAACCACAGCAAACCAACAGGGAAACCAATGGCATTCCTTCAATCCTGAAGAAGTGGCACAAGAGGCATACATCTATACACACTTCGATAGAGAGTTCATCCGAGTGATAATCCGAAAGCTTTGGAGTATTTAGTGCAAAACCGCAA